TAAAAGCTCCGTATCGAAGGAATGCAGATCCAGCAAGCCAGGGCTGAGCTCACCATGAGACACGTAGTCATCGCCAGTCCTCCTGAGACTCGTAGACCGCGAAGAAAGCGGCGGCGTCGTTGGGTCCGGTGACTTTCTGTTCATCCTTCCTCCGTATAAACCAAACTCCTGTACATTAAACGCATCTTTTCATCAGAGTCTGAACATTAAAGTAAAATGAATACTTTAGAGAGCAACGAACACCTGAGAAGGAGGAACGTTTGAAGATTGAAGCCATTTCACATTGAAGGATGAGTCTAGGAAGTTGTCCGAGTACTGACGGTGGTGATGCGCTGTCGTATTAGATCTTGACATCGGTCTCCCCACCACGTTCATTTTCTCTCAATATACTTCCGATCAAAGTCGTCTCTCTCCTTAAACTCGAAGAAAAATTGCCGGCCGCACAGTACAAAACAAAGCTTCAAAACTTTATTTCAAACAAAAATAAATTAAATAGTTAACAAAACACCAAAAAAGAAAGAAAAGAAGCTGTAATGGAGGTGGTTAGAGTTAGCGTAATGATATTTTGAAAGCTTTTGTTCTCTTTAAACAAAGAATGTTGAGAGAAATGATTTTGAAACTTTGAAAAGAAAGACCGGGCCAACTCTCGAGGTGTTGTTTAAACAGTAGTACGTAAATAAGAGATAGGCGCGTGTCATTACTGTCAGCGAAGAGGGAATACAACGCGTGGCTGGGCCCACTTGTTTTTCTTTTTTTTTTTTTTTTTTGAATGAGTGAATGGAGTGGAATGGATTATGTTTGTCTTCTGATATCCTTTCTTTTGACCTTTATCTGGTAAGCAAAGTGGAGCGCCGGACCACGTGAGTAAAGAAGAGCGTGGTTACAAGCGCGCATGAGGTCGGTTCTGTGCTGGGGCAGAAGAGGTCAAGTATACCAAGTGTGTGTCGGGCAGAGTTGTTGGTCTTCACGTCGCTTAGTGCATGACCCACTTTAGTGAATCGCGGATTGTGTGATTGAAGATGCTGTCTGTCTGTGTTCTTTACCGTAGATCTTTCCCCCATTTTTAGGTTTTTATTATTTGGGTGGAGCCCATTTTGCAATTTTCTTATTTGAACTTAGGAACCACGAGTAGACCTGTATATTAGAGAGTTAAAACTATATGCGGTCCTTGGGTTCTAAAAAATAACACATTTAATTTTGATTTTTTAAATGGTAACATTTACCTCCTTAGTCCTTAGCATTAAAATCATGTCAAAAAACTAAAATACCCTTTAATATATTATATTACAATAAAAATATTAATTGTCAAACTTTTGCTCTCGTTAAGGAGTTAAATTTTGAGAAATGAAAGATAAATAAGACAAGAGATGTTGACATGTGACATTTATACATTAATTATCAATTTTACTCTTTATTCATTAGTTTTATGTCATTTATGTTAGAATTAAAAGAAGATAAATGGCACTATTTGAAAACTTCTGAATTAAAAGTGTTAGTTTTTAGAATATGAGGACTGATAAATACGTTTACCAAACTTCAACTAAAATTTCAAAACTTATAGATCATATTGTTTGGGATTTTGGACGGTCCATGTAGGATACTCAAGATTTTCGGGATAAGGTCACTAGTGTGGGATATTACACAACTAAGGGAGGGAAAATTGAATTCGAAATGGGATTCGTTTAATTTATCTTACTATGTCATAACAAATAGAGCAACACCGCCTTCAAATACATGTATATTTAATAGAAAAATATTAATGGTATATTATTAAATAAATATTATTTGAATCAAAATCATGCTTCTACATAAAGTCCTACATCAACAATCATGCATTTTACAACATTAGTTATGTTAGGGATAAAAATATGAGGTCCAAATAGGTGAAAAATACTAGGTATCTTTTAGTAAATTGACTTAAGTTATAGTATTTTTCACATAAATACTTCATATATCCCAATTTATTGATCATATTATAATTTATCGTGTGCATATTACTCACTTAAGCATTACAAAGATTACATCAATAATCTCACTATCACCTTCTCTAATGTTAGATTTGTCTTTTGTCATTGCTAAGAGGAATCCAAGATTTGAATTCGGACATAAATTGACATTTTAAATTTCGCTTAAATTAATCCCACGCATAAAAAGGAAAAGAAAAAATCATTTTTTTATTAAAACTATGATAAAGTTGTTTTTATCACCACCTAATAGCATTAGCAATTAATGTTGTTTAAATATAATCAAACAATTTATCATCTATGTATATATATAAAAAGGATGTGTTTCATTTTAATCATTAAATGATTATAAGTAATATATAATGGAAACTCAAAGTTTGAATTCACTTCATGGCCCTAAATTAATACACTGATACTTATAAGTGTTCTTTACGTTCAGTGTGATAACAAATACAATGAAAATCACATATTCAATATAATATGTGTCGTGGCTAAAAAATCGCACTGATATCAGTACCAACCAATCAGAGTTTAGGAAGACTTTATACCATCCAGAAACTGGCACGTCGCCCCACGACAGAAGGGATACGGCTGTCGCCAATCTAGCAGATTCAAGTTTTGTCTATAAGTGGATGAGAATCGCACACCTGTCCCAACTCAATCAAAATAAAGTTGATAAGGATTAAAGAGTGGTCCCCACGCTTCATGGTAACTTGCAAAAGCAGCCATTACATTAGCCTAAAAGGTGTATAAATGAGCAGCTCTCTTCACAAAAAGGGGGGTTGGACATATGAGAGTTATACATAGATTTGAACTTCATTCTTTCTCTCTGTAAGCAAAATATTTATTCATCTTTGTATGTCTTACGGACAATATCATAAAAATAGTTAGAGAACAATAAAATATGAGTGAATGTAGGATTTACTTTAAGCATCCAAACCACTACAAAAATCTCTCTTATCAATATATTATCTTATATTTTCTGCAACATATCTGATCTCAGTACCATATTCAAATCTCATGGATTCATCACGTGTAATTTTTAAGACTCTCTTAGCACTTTGCATGTACAAGTTATTGGTGTCCAAAAGTAAGCATCAACAATATAAAAAAACAGTGTTAGTACGTATGGTTTTTAATAGAATTTCTAGTAACCGGTGATATTTGAAATTTTCAACCCAATTCGTTATTTGAGTCGCCAAACTAGAAGGATTATAAGAAACTATGATAAATGACAGTGAAGGGAAAGTTCTACTCTATCGTATTTGGAGGCTAATAAACATTAGCAGGACTTAAGAGCAAACTGGTTGAGATGGCCGAGTTGGTCTAAGGCGCCAGATTAAGGTTCTGGTCCGAAAGGGCGTGGGTTCAAATCCCACTCTCAACATGATTTTTGACACCCTTACAGAATGTGCAATATCAAGAGTACCCCCGGGTTTTTTGATATTGAATTTAAATTATAACCATACCAAATTAAAAAAAAAAATAAAAAACTATTACACTTCACCTTTTCGTATTATTTATAATTATTTTTATTCACTTTCCCTTAATTTTCATAAGAAAATGATGAGAGAAAAAGAGGAAAGATATTATATTACTTACCAAGTTAAAATAATGTCCCTTTTACTCTCTCTTTCTCTCGTCATTTTCTTAAAAGAATTTTATTTTTTAATATGTTCAAATTCCCAACTTCATCAATTAATATAAATTCGCTCTAAACAACTTTCAACCACAAATTCCAATAAATAATTCACATAATAAAAATAGATAAGCATGTGTGGACGCACACCATTTTGAATAAAGTTCACAACATTGTTGCCGCTTGTAATGGGCGAGGTTGGCAGTGTCACCACTGTTGGGGTAGGATAGTAACGTTTAGTGGAAGCGTTCGGCTGTTCGGATTTTAAAACTTCCTCCTCATAATGTTATTATGATCATGATAGTGATGTTTTAATGCAAATAGCGCATGTATACGTATATATGTATCATAAATAAATATGGATATCATATTTCAATATAAAAAATATAAAATGCAAAATAAATAAATAAATGAAAAAGTTATTAACTCATTTACTGACATCTAAATCAATACACACAGAATCTCACATTGATGGGGATTATCTCATTACAATGGAATCAAGAACAATTTATTATTTGGGATGACTGAGAATATAAAGATACACACAAGATCTCACGTTGGTGGGGATTATCTCACTATAATGGAATCAAGAACATTTTCTTATTTGGGATGATCAAGAGTATAAAGATTAAATACTATGAGCAAACAAGTTGCTAATCTTCTTAGATGTGTACTTGGGGGATAGCAGGCCGGATCCAGCCACTTTTTGCCTTCCCTTAATTTTTTTTTTAAATATTAATATGTATAATTTATATATTTTGACCTACTCTAACAAAAATATTAGTGGACAAAAATATTAATGTATAATTAATTTTTACTTTAGCCCACCATAGTAGAAATTTATGGATTTGCTACTAGGGGATAGGGTTTTTCTTTTCTCTCATTTATAATCTTTCTCGTCTGTTATCTCTGACATACAATGAACCATAAGCCTCTTTTAAATAGTCACTAAATGTTGGATTAGTAGGTTATCCTTGTAATATTGTATTCCAGTTTAACTTATTCACCCATTTGGGTGCTAACCTAATTCGGGTCCAAATTTAATTATTAAACCCATTTATAAAATTTCCTTATTTGGTCATATTTTTTTTAATTAATTAATTTAATTAATCAATAATCAATTTATCCAATTACAAGAATACATTTTTAATAAATTATACTAATTAGTCCATTAAAAGTTTTTAGAAACTTCAATATTCTCGTTAACTCTTTAATAAGAGAATCCTTAATTCCAATCAAACTTAAAAACCCAAATTTCTCTAGGGGGACGGGAATTAAAAACCCGAATTTCTCCGTGCCCCAACTCCTGCCTCCCGGCCCGGGCAATCTTAACCCGGACCATAGCAGTTTAAAATTTCAGCGCCCGCGCTTTTTAAAACCCATAGAAATCGGTTTTAGTAACCCTCAAACCCATCAGTTACGACTTACGCAGAACAATCCAAAAAAACCTAGAAAATGGCCCAAGCCGCGAGGCTAAACCTGAGAATGCAAAAGGAACTGAAACTTCTCCTCAGCGATCCGCCTCCTGGCTCCTCCTTTCCATTTCTCTCCGCCGACTCTGACCTCACCTCACTATCCACCATTCATGCCCGTATGATTCCCTTTTCTCTTGTTTTCTAGATTACCTTATTTGTAGTATTCAGTTTATAACGTGGTTTATTTATTTTGTTGCCGCAGATATTGAAGGTCCTCAAGGCACCGTATATGCTAAAGGGGTTTTTGAAATCAAAATTCAAATACCTGAAAGGTGTTCTTAACTTAAATTACGATTATATTTTTGGAGTTTATAGAAATTTGATATGAATATTATTTGCTGACGTTTTTAATTGTTTTTTAAAAATGTATTTTCAGGTATCCGTTTCAGCCTCCGAGTGTGACCTTTGCCACGCCTATTTACCACCCTAATATTGACAACGGTGGCCGAATATGCCTTGATATTCTCAATCTTCCCCCAAAGGTGAGTGAATCCCATTACTGTATTGGAATTATGAATATCTGAGTTATTCTCTGGGTTAATTTTGCCATGCCCTTTGATTGTTGGTGTGGGTAAGTAAGCTCCTAATTATTTTTCAGCTAGTTATAGGCATAGAGGTTAAGAGTAAATATGTGACTTTGATGGTGTTTGACCCGCAAGGTCCTATATTGGAATGGAAAATGGAGCAAATTTGCTATAATTTCTAAGGTTCTTCCATACACGTGTCAACTTTTTTATTGCACTTGGTGCCCTTGAATCTAGTCTAGGAATTTTTGAATAGGAATTTAAGGTTGTTTCCTTCAAAAAATAGGAAAAAACGACTTGGTTGCAACTCTCAATCTTCCACATGTTTCTGCTGGAAGCTTAATTTTCGTAAACACTGCTTGTTTTTTGGCCCTGGAATTTTGACCTATATACTGCAATGGCTCAACACATTTCTGCAGTGATCTACTAACCAGGTCAATCAGAGTTTAAACTCTAGGATTCTGTTTCGATGAACTTGTGCAGATTTGAGTCTTTTAGTTTTGTTCCTTATCTTTGTAAGAGTCACTATTATTTCTGGCATGATGAACTAGCACTTAAAAGGGATAATAGCCAGAAGATTAAACTATTTCTCCTTGTTACAACAACATCATCCACTGAATTGACAAGATCGACTGATGATCTGCCAGATTGGGAGGTTTTAATTGTCATTTGAATATTTTCAATGGCTTGGACTCCCGGGCATGTTGTTTCTCTATTCAATTTGCTTTATCGTAAAGTTTCTGTTTCTTTCATAAATCTAATTTTTGACAAAGGTATTTTAATAAAAAACAGGGGGCATGGCAACCATCCCTGAACATCTCAACTGTGCTTACAAGCATAGGGTTGTTACTGAGTGAACCAAATCCTGATGATGGACTCATGTGTGAAGCGGTTAGTTTTATACCCATTGATTGTGTGGGCAGCAATTGTGAATTTGAAAGAGTCTTTTTCATGTGATATGTTTTGACTGGATGCACAGAGCAGGGAATACAAATATAACAGACAGGCTTTTGACCAAAAAGCTCGATCAATGACTGAGAAGTATGCAAAGGCAGGAGTTGCTGGGAATAATTTCAGCAGTCAAGGCGTTCCGAACTTGAATTCTACTGTGGTATAGTGACATGAAATTTGTCTACTGTTATTGATTTTGTGAAATATTATATTTTTTTTGATACTGAAATATCTTACTTCAGGCTGAAGTTAGAGGATCAATAGAGTCAAGACTTGAAGTCAGTGAATTAGTTTCAAGTCATAACAATCAATATGGTATCAGCCGGAAGTTGTCGCTGGAGTTTTCAAGCTCAAGCCAAAGCCAAAATAGGGACAATGATGTGGAGGTGAATGAGGTAAACAGTCAGCACCCACCCTCTATTTTTGTCTTTCTTTCGAAAACCAGATGGATGCTAAAGAAAAATGAACGAGGTCAATATTACTTTTGATGTCCTGTTTCTCTCTATCTTTGCAAAACCAGATGGGAGCTAATGGAAAAAGGAAGGATATAAGTTTCACTCTTGATGACTTTAACTTGAGACGTGAGAAGCTATGTGGAACTAGGCGGAAGCTATCACTGGAATCCTCTTGTCAAATTCTGAAGCAAGACGGTTGTGTCATGGAAAATGTATTGCCAAATCAGTTTCCACTGTGTAGCCCTGAAACCATTTCTGTAACTTCTTCAGGATCATCTTTGCTGCACGCCAGCAATTTTAGACAGCAAAAACATCATAACAGGGAATTAAAGAATGGTAGCATAAACACTAGCTCGAAGCATCTGTGCGAGGATGACCAGGAAAAGCCGTGGAGATCTTTGGATAAATTCCAACTAAATGATGATAATAATGAGAAAATCTTTATCCAGCCACAGGTATTGCCCTCCCAGTCACACCTTAAATCATCATGTGGAGCACAATCAATGCCCCTGTCCATTAACTGTAATGAACTAGAGCCTTGTAAGGATTTTATTGATACTATGGGAAATGGCTCTACTGAGGTGAACTACAAGAAGCTATGTTCCTTTGGCAAGAAGCATTCACTGGGATTCAAAGGGCTATCACTAGGACAGGAAAAGGATAATAAGGAGAACGAGGCTCCACTTCGGAAACAACCTCTTTCAAGTCCCCACCGCTCTTCTACAAAGATTGGAATTGGGCGAAAATTGTCTCTTGGCCCTCTGACCCATTTGCAAGATAGCAATAATAATAACAGCTGCATACTCTCACACAAGGAGAACCTCTCCACAGATGCATCTAAGTCATTGTTCTTGAGAAAGGAAAAAAAGGAGCAAACAGATCAAGATCGTGGGGAGACTCAGCAACAGAAAACAGTGGAATCCCCAATATCTGAAGTGGTTGTTGTGCTAGATAGCGAAGACAGCGAGGAGGAGAGGGATGGAGTTTTGAGGTCCAAGCTGTTGCTAGGACGGAAGCGCATGGGGAAGTACAAAATTAGAGCTTAATATGTGATGGTTTCTTATTGAATTACTGACCCCCAAATATCTTACGCCTTAATATTTTCTGGTGTATGGTCATTTGACAGCCATTGACCACGCATTCTATGACTCTTTTCATTCTGGAGGTCATTGGTAACAACCGCAGAAACAGCATTGGCTCTACATAAGCTATTACAGCAACAGTTGTCTGACTGGTGATCACCAATCAGTCAATATGTTAATATTGATAGTGACATTATACTTTATTCCCTTTTGATCAAACTTTGTTAAGCTGGCTTCTTTGATTTCTCTAGTCTGGGGCCTCTGGGCTGATGAAAAGCTGGAGGAACCATGACACCAATCAAATGCATCATAGAGTACTTTAATTCAAGCAGCTTAAAATTCGATTTTGGCCAAAAAGTAATAAACGACCTTCTATAAAAATGACCTACTATATAAAAATCATAAGTTTTGCTGAGCGTAGTTTTCTTCTAGTTTTAGGTGTTAAAACAATCCATTTATTTCAGGGTATCCAAAAACTTATAAACTAGTTAGGAATTAGGATGAGATGATATTAATATCGGTGAAAAGGTGATAATGTTGCTCTGATACTAGTGTCACATACACTATGATTTGAAAGTATTGGTAGAAATGAACCTTGTCTACGTAAAGACCAAGCCATATGCATGTCCTGTAAGTTTTCTCTGACCATAAACTCCACACGACTTTCTAGTAGAAATTTATTTCACACTCACTCAATATCAACCGTATGTTCCTTTATGTGGCCCCAAAGAAGACCTCATCCTCTCGTCCAAGTTCGAACAATCCATTTGACAACGGGCTTGGTAAGTCGGACTAGGCCCGGCCCACGATTTTTAGAGATATGATAAAGGCCCCGTTCTTGTAGGCGACGAGAGGCGGTTGAATAACTGATGGCATCGTTCTGCTGCCTATCTACAGCATCGACATCGAAAACCCTAGCAATTGCCCCTTCATTAAGACCCTCCACGTCGTTCTCGTCAGCGTCAATGAGCCAAAGTTGCAGTTGCTCTCGAGTCTTGATGCCGATGTTCGGTTCTAATCGCCTTAATTTGAATAATCAGAGGGCGCGGAGGCAGGTGGTACGTATGGCACCTGAAGAGGAGAAATTGACTCGTCGCAACCCTCTCGATTTCCCTATCGTAAGTTTACTTTTTTTCAATTCTGTTATTCAAATTGAACTTCCTTTTATTTGTTTCTTGATTGGTTATTTGGCACGGGAGGTTTGATCATATTTTATGCCTTAATTTATACAAGAATAGGAATTTGAAGACGTGTCTCTTGAGGGCTTGGTTTTCTTTAAATCTTTGGTTATGATTATGAATTTTGTCTCAAGTGCAATATCTAGAGATTTAGCCATTTGGGTTTGTTTTATGACTTGCATATTTAGATGATCTAATTTAGTTTTTAGAACTCATTAGTTAAAGTGGAATTGGGCAGATTACGATGTGAACTTAATGAAGGTATAATCACAGTTTTTTGGTTGATGTGCTACTTAATGAAAAGATTATGTATAATGAAAACGAAGGGTGCCTTTTGTTTCCCTATTTTTGCCCTATCATATTCTTATCATTTTCAAAATACACATTTGTTTTTCTATTCTGAAAATATTATTATATGTTATTCAATTATTTTTATAGGCCCTAAGTTTGTTAATTTAACTAAACACCTCCTCAAAAAAAGTTTAAAAATTGACAAAAACACCCTCACTCACACACATTTGCCAGATTCAGCTGCCACTACCGTCGGAAGGTGGCCAGAATCTGGTATAATGATGCACTACCGGCTGGATATGACCGATAGTGCAGTGATATAGTCTTTTCTGGTCAGATCCACTAGATCTATAGTCAACGGCTAAATCTTTGGCTGTAGCTAGTCGTCAACGATGGCCAAGATATGGCTGTTGTTAACCATCAACGACGGCCATATCTTTGGCCGTAACTAGTCGTCAACGATAACCAAGATATGACTGTCGTTAACCATCAACGACTAAATGTGGCTAGATCTAGCTATCAATGGCCAGATCCACGGTGGATCTGGCTGGAAAAGGCCATCTCGGAGCACGATCGGCCAGATCCAGTCGATCGTGCTTCGATGCAGCGACTCCAGCCACCCTCCAACAGTGGTGGCCGGCTGTCGGTATTTAATGGATGGGTGGGGGTGTTTTTGTAATTTTCAATGTTTTTATTACATGGGTGTTTAGTAAATTAACAAACTTAGATCAGTGTTTTGTTAATTTTCAAATCCTTCCTCGTTATTACCACCTAACTCTTACTTTTTCAAAAATACTATCTAAAATACTAAATCAAACGCACCTAAAAAGATTATGTATTATGAATTATTAATTGAAATTCCGAGTGGCTTGTTCTATTTGAAAATTAATTATGGTGGATTTATTCTCGAGTAAATGACTTCCCACTCAAATAATAGTTTAGTAACACTTTTCTACCAATAGACTTTTAAAATACTATTTTACTATCCAAATTTATATTCCGTTTCCGATTTCGACATCATTGTGACCCTACACCACCACTATTCTCTTTCTCGATCATCACTCACCAAAACCTTTCAAATCTACTCTCGTCGACCCTGCCAATTGCAATCGAGCAATTAGAGAATGTGCAACCGCCCCTCCCAAGTCAAATTTCAATCAATCCCAATAACCAAAATCCGATCTTTCACCACCAAAAGATTCATCGGTCTCCTATCTTCAAAAGCCCCAACAGCTTGGACCAAGTTTGTTCTCTGTTTACTACCGGAATATAAATTTAGGTAATAAAATAATATTTTAAATGTCTGTGAGTGAGAAAGTGTCATTAAGCCATTATTTGGGTGGGAAAAAGTCTTTAATTCTTTATTCTTTTGGTCTGAATGTTTATTGTATGTGCTGGGGTGGTAAATAATGTCTATCAATCTATAACGCAGGAGTGGGAGAGGCCCAAACCTGGTCGTAGACCTGATGTATTTCCCCAGTTTAGCCCTATGAAAACACCGTTACCACCTCCATTGCCATGTGATCCTCCAGAAGAAGATGAAGAAGAGGAAGAAAAGAAAGAGGAAGAGGAGGAAGATCCTGAGAAGGAAGAAACAGAGAAGCCTGATAATCAATAGGAGTATTCTTATTATGACAGAGCCGGGTATTGTATCCCATAAGCTCGAGGTGTCACTTCTTCCTTTATGTGCTTTGTGTAGAAAGTGGATGATAATCATCCCTGTAAAATGTTGTTGAAGGTGAGGGTCCTCATTTTGTGCTGAAAGGATATGTCAAACCTCTTCTTGGTACTTATTGCAGGCTTATATGTAGGCTTTAATTTCCATTTTGGTAGAATTTTCAGTAGCATAATTTGATGAGTGATTTTAAAATAAAATTTAGGCTGATATTTTTCCTCTCTGTGCTGTTATTTTCTTCCTATGAGGATAGATATACATGATCTACTGAACCGATGTGTGTATATTGATTTTATTGCTAGCTGTCTCACTTCTAATCCAGTGTTTTTATAAGAGCATAATTTCATTTGTAAGAATTATGATACTGGGGATGGTTTTGTCGCCTGCACCGGGGAATCCCAACATGACTAAAGTTTAGCCGTCATCTTTTGGGCATGAGACAGATCGGTGGCTCATCTCTTAGCAGCTGGGTCAAATTCTTGATTGTGTTTTCCCTACCATTTGTTTATTTTGTGTCCCAACCAGTCAACAACTCTTTTCGTATTTGCTTTGCACTTTCTGAGAATGAGAGCTCATTCTATGCCAAATAATACATTAGGGGTCATTGGAAAGTATTCAAGTTTCTTCTCTTCACGTGGCAGAAGTAGCCCAGTACCGTAAGTCTTATATAGGCTGGTGTGTTTGCCCATCTCCAATCCCTCAAACTTAACATTGCCCCTCTTCTCTTTGTACCTCCACCAGTCGGATTGGTACAGTTGACGGCAACTGATGTGAGTAAGCTATATAACTCAACAATCACGTGCTTCTTGAAATAATATAAAATAAAATTATTGGAGAGGTGAATAAAAAAAATCAATGACTCATAATAAATGTAACTCTTAAAACGATAGATTAAGCTTTTAACACATCAGCCAATTACAAATGACGTGGGGTTTATGTTGTACCGAATAAAATCATAAACCCAATCTCTGCCGTGGCAAAACCTTACTGGAAAGGACCACAATATGTGAGTGTTAGTTGTGGCAGTTGATAATCCCCTCTCAAATGTTTCATCTGTTTTAGTTTTAGCTTGCTCCTTGTAAGACTTCAGGGTAAGGACGGGTAGGTCTGAATGTTCGCTGTAGATTGGCAGCTAAACGAACACAAATGGCCAAATGCAACTCTCGTCTTTTCAAGACCAAATCTTCATTTTGAACATCTTTCTTGGTCTTCTTCTTCCAACTCACCAGAGCCATGGTTAGTATGATCATTCCTTTATTACCTCCCAATAATAATATATAATCCAATTGTTGTTTACGTATGTGTAGATTTTCAACTTAAACTCGATCTTAATTACTTTGTTTGTCATTTGCAGTCTCTAACGCCATTGATGTTCCGGTCACTGGTGGAGCTTCTAACGGCCCTGGTAAGTCAGCCTGCTGCCTCTGTCACAACGATACTCTACTACAGTGAACTTCTTCCTCAGAATATTGTTCTGGAGAGAATGGTTAGACACGAGTTACTTGAGCAAGAAAATTATCTTTTCCACTTTCTCGTCAATTTTTTGAGATGTTTCTGGTAGACTCTTCATCTCCTTAATTTCCCAGATTTCAGTTGACTCATCATCTTTATCATCATACAGCCATTTTTATTTTCTGACATAATTTAGTCAACTTATGAGAGAAAGGTAGTTTCTGAAATTTTCCTACGCTTTTCTCAGATTGATTTTTACATGGTGGATCCGGCAATTTTGTGTAATTGTAATTGGTGATTATTTTGAGATTCTTGAAATAATTAGAAGGAACAAAACAATGTATTGAGTTCAGACACTTAAACATGCAATGGGTGGGTGGATTTTGTCATGTAAAGAGAGGATCATCAATATTAATTTCTGTTTGAAATAAACATTATTGTTTCATGGAATTGATCCAATTGCAGTAGTGAATATAAATTCCTCAGAATGTGTATGTAGCATGGTGTATAGATTTTAAATTCTTAGTTAATATTTTATGGTTTGTAGCTGTTTGTGGCGCAAGTTCTGAGATGTTGAATGGCCCTGTGCCAACTAATACGAGCTCTTCATCGTTTCGTTGACTTGGACCATCTATTTTTTCATAATGCTTTGATACTATTGCATTGAAAAGATGAACCATTATTTATTTAATAAAAACAAGTTCAATGGTATAATTGAGATCACAAGTTGATTGCATTAACAACTAAAACGTTGTTTTGTCTATATTTTTTTTATATTCTAAACTTTTAAAACATATTTTGGAAGTTTGTTGGTAGATTTAAAAAAAAAAAAAAAAAAAATTATGAATTGGAAAAATAACTTAAATGTTTTTTCTTTTTCTTAAATATTATGGTAAATAACTTTTTAAGTCCCCAACATAAGAATTAACAAATGAATTGAAAAAATTATTTGTGACAAAAGAAGAGAAACATAACCCATAAAAGTCCAAAATCAACTTTTCGATATAGGATGTAAAAATCAGTTTTTTATTAACTTAAATCAAGGAAATATGGGTGGAAGTACTAGTGAAAATCATTTTACAAGCACCCATTTTAATGAACTTATTTGATGTTCATCTCACAACTTAATCTTATAAATTTTTTCTCATAATTCTGACATTTGCAATTAAACAGATGAGATATATTGCGAGCTACCAAATCGAAATTAATAAAATTATATAAAAAAGTTTATAAAATTTGATTGTAAATATAATATTGACCTTTAACGTTATATGTATTTAGGGTCGTAATTTTCATTTCATCTAAACACAATAAAAAAGTTCACATTTCCGCAACTTAAAATTATTTGAATTTGTTTAAATTTACCACCAATTAATCAATTTAATCATTATTTTGTTGGCAAGATACCACAATTAACGTTGTAAACAAGGTCATCATTCTCCTCCATCAATCTTTCATTATTCTAATGAGATTCTACGCTTTTCGACGTTTTTAGTTTGATGGCGTGGTTGCTCCCACAGCTACACAACCATTCAATTTTTGGTTATAATTTATTTGTTCTTTAACATCTTTTTATGAGTGGCGTTAAAAGGTTCCATCTCTTTACTCAACAGCCTCGTATTTCTTAGGCTAAAACTGTAATAAAGACTGATAAACAAGTAGNAACTTAAAATTATTTGAATTTGTTTAAATTTACCACCAATTAATCAATTTAATCATTATTTTGTTGGCAAGATACCACAATTAACGTTGTAAACAAGGTCATCATTCTCCTCCATCAATCTTTCATTATTCTAATGAGATTCTACGCTTTTCGACGTTTTTAGTTTGATGGCGTGGTTGCTCCCACAGCTCCACAACCATTCAATTTTTGGTTATAATTTATTTGTTCTTTAACCTCTTTTTGTGAGTGGCATTAAAAGGTTCCATCTCTTTACTCAACAGCCTCGTATTTCTGAGGCTAAAACTGTAATAAAGACTGATAAACTAGTAGATCAGGTCAATCATGGGTTTTTATTTCTAAGTTAATCTGTAATAAACAAACGAGCAAACGGCATATTCTCATCCAAGGTGTAGCAAAATTTTAAGTTGGTACTCCTAATCGTATTTATTTCAGATTCTTACTTAAACTAACGTTGTTTTCATTATTTTAACAAATTCTAAACTTTTCACTATAATGCATTTGTCGACGCTTTCTTTGACAGAAGACGTGCACATGTTAGCAAAAAACAGCTTATGTTAGTAGCATCCAAACTGGTAATTTTTGGTTTTTTCCAATTGATTCTAAAGTCCAAAATTACTTTCGAGACCACCGTTGGACTCTCCATAACATCTTCTACAAAACTCATACATTCACTTGTCGACCTTACTCACTGTTTCTGACCACCTCTAACAGTCACTAACGTTGTTAGATTAAGGGTGAGAATATCAATTTATAATTTTGTTATCCCTTGGGTGGGAACATGTGGTTTGCTCTAAACAAAAATATTAAAACAATATTTTTTTTAAAGCTCGATGCAGTATAGTGTGATACATAAAACATGGACCGGTGTTTTATTTTACATTATGTTGATGCGTGATTTTTGACACCAACTAATCGACACGTGCGTAACGTTGATTGGTCAAGAGATACACGTGATTATGGGTAGAATGTAGAGAAAATGCAATAAGAGCTTTTTGAAGTGGTTCGGATGCTAAGGTAGCAAGTTCTACATCCACTGATTTGTATTAATATAGTGGGTCAAGTCGCAACAGCGAACTGACTTACCAATGATTGGTGAAAAGTAAATATAAAGTTATAAGAGAGAGAGAAAGCTAATTCCCAGTGTAAAATAGCCGAATCCCCTTAATGAAGGGGTCTTCCTCTTTTTATAGTGAGATGAGTGTAATTAATCATCATTAAATCTATGGGTTGGTGTGAATGTCAGGATTAAATCCGGTTTTACGTCACATTGCCGACCTTCCAAACTGATTTCACGTGATTTGGAGCAGAGAAATAGACACGTGGGAGCTCCATGGCGTTTGACAGACCTGATGTGTGCTTACCATTCTGACAGGAGCAGGTCACACCCTATCACGTAATTTCTTACGTTAGCCCTTAATTTTCCAGGCGTAACACATTAATAGTATAGTATTGTCTTTATCATTTTATTCTTCTTTGGACAAATTAAGTTTAAGGATAAGCTCTAGAAGATTAAGTTATAAGAAAATTGGTCGGGTGGTCCATTCTCAATCTGACTTGGAATTGCATTAAGTAATTATTCTGCAGATAGTCTTTGTTTGATTCGATTCAAAATTTAATAAACATGAGTTCATTATTAACCCACTGTCAGAATACAACCAACTTTATTGTTGTCGTTAGTCTCACTGTTGCAGACTATTAACGGTAGCGGTAACGCAGTGACATTAAAAATTATAAGAAACCATTAAAAATAATGTAAAATTTTAATATTTTATCTAAAAAACTCAGAAGAAATATGGGACATCCTGTAGTTAATATCGTTAATGCGGCCGTTACAATTTTTTGCTTAGACTCCAAGACAACAGTTGTGACATGTAATGTCTACCCGAACAGGTTGAACAACCCAAACCAAAAAAGTCTCCGGGATGGTGTTTCGCTATTCAATTTGCTTTATGTAAAGTTTCTTTTCTTTCATAATCTAATTTTTAACAAAGGTATTTTAACAAAAAAACAGGGGCATGGCAACCATCCTGAACATCTCAACTGTGCTTACAAGCATAGGGTTGTTACTGAGTGAACCAAATCCTGATGATGGACTCATGTGTGAAGCGGTAGTTTTTATACCATTGATTGTGTGGGCCCAATGTGAATTTGAAAGAGTCTTTTTCTGTGATATGTTTTGACGGAGCACAGAGCAGGGAATACAAATATAACAGACAGGCTTTTGACCAAAAAGCTCGATCAATGACTGAGAGTATGCAAAGGCGGAGTGCTGGGAATAATTCAGCACTCAAGGCGTTCCGAACTTCAATTCACTGTGGGATAGTGACATGAAATTTGTCTACTGTTTGATTTTTGTGAAATATTATTTTTTTTGATACTGAAATACTTACTTCAGGCTGAAGTTAGAGGATCAATAGAGTCAAGACTGAAGTCATGGAATTAGTTTCAAGTCATAACCAAAATATGGTATCAGCCGGAAGTTGTCGCTGGAGTTTTCAAGCTCAAGCCAAAATAGGGACAATGATGTGGGGTGAAGAGGTAAACAGTCGCACCACCCTCATTTTGTCTTTCTTTCGAAAACCAGATGGATGCTAAAGAAAAATGAACGAGGTCAATATTACTTTGATGTCCGGTTTCTTCTATCTTTGCAAACCAGATGGGAGCTAATGGAAAAAGGAAGGATTAAGTTTACCTCTTGATGACTTTAACTTGAGACGTGAGAAGCTATGGGAACTAGGCGGAAGCTATCACTGGAATCCTCGTCAAATCTGAAGAAGACGGTTGTGTCATGGAAAATGTATTGCCAAATCAGTTTCCACTGTGTAGCCCTGAAACCATTTCTGTAACTTCTTCAGGATCATCTTGCTGCACGCCAGCAATTTTAGACAGCAAAAACCTCATAACAGGGAATTAAAGAATGGTAGCATAACACTAGCTCGAAGATCTGTGCGAGGTGACAGGAAAAGCGTGTAGATCTTTGGATAAATTCAAACTAAGATGATAATAATGAGAAAATCTTTATCAGCCCAAGGTATTGCCCTCCATCACGCCCTAAATCATCATTGGGAGCACACAATGCCCCTGTCCATTAACTGTAATGAACTAGAGCCTTGTAAGGATTTTATTAATACTATGGGAAATGGCTCTACTGAGGTGAACTACAAGAAAGCTATTTCATTTGGCAAGAAGCATTCATGGATTCAAAGGGCTACACTAGGACAGGAAAAGGATAATAAGGAGAACGTGGCCCACTTCGGAAACAACCTCTTCAAGTCCCACCGCCTCTTCTACAAAGATTGGAATTGGGCGAAAATTGTCTCTTGGCCCTCTGACCCATTTGCAAGATAGCATAATAATAAACAGCTGCATACTCTCACAAGGAGAACCTCTACAGATGCATCTAAGTCATGTTCTTGAGAAAGGAAACAAGGAGCAAACAGATCAAGATCGTGGGGAGACTCAGCAACAGAAAACAGTGGAATCCCCAATATCTGAAGTGGTTGTGTGCTAGATAGTGAAGACGCGAGGAGGAGAGGGATGGAGTTTTGAGGTCCAAGCTGTTGCTAGGACGGAAGCGCATGGGGAAGTACAAAATGAGGCTTAATATGTGATGGTTTCTTACTGAATCTGACCCCCAATATCTTACGCCTTAATATTTTCTGGTGTATGGTTATTTGACAGCCATTGACCATGCATTCTATGACTCTTTTCATTCTGGAGGTCATTGGTAACAACAGCAGAAACAGCATTGGCTCTAATAAGTATT